GTGCTGCTGTGCTGCAGTGCCAGCCGAAATGGCTGTGCGAGCCGAAACAGCTGTGCTGGTGTCCCATGTCTCTCCTACAGCTGGGAATTTCCCCATTCTGTGGGCAACAAAGATCCGTCTGGAAATGCGGATTGAACTCACCCTCTGCATCTTCACTGAGAGCTGCAATCCTGATTTGCTCCTACCGCCCCATCTTGGCAGTCCCCACCAGAGTTTCGCTCTTATTACCCAGGCTAGAGTGCAATGGCATGATCTTGGCTCACTGCAACCTCTGCCTCTTGGGTTCAAGCAATTCTCCTACCTCAGCCTCTTGAGTAGCTGGGACTACAGGCTGTGCCACCATGCCCAGCTATGTTTTGTATTTTTTTTAGTAGAGATGGGGTTTCACCATGTTGACCAGGATGGTCTCGATCTCTTGACCTAGTGATCCACCCACCTTGGCCTCCCAAAGTGCTGGTATTATAGGCGTGAGCCACCGCGCCTGGCCCAGATGTTATTATTTTAATGTACTGTGTAAATATTTTTCCTCATTTCATTCATAAAGTTCACTGAGGTAGGGAAAGTTTTTACTGATCTTTCCATTTAGCCTGAACAGTCAGCAAAATATACTCCATGTGGAATAGATGCTTTTTTTTGCTCAATGGTGTATGTATTAGTCCCTTTCATGCAGCTGATAAAGATATACCCAAGACTTAGTGATTTACAAAAGAAAGAAATTTATTGGACTTAAAGTTCCACGTGACTGGGGAGGCCTCACAATCATGGCGGAAGGCAAGGAGGAGTAAGTCACAACTTACATGGATGGCAGCAGGTAGAGACAGAGATTATGTGCAGAGAAACTCCCATTTTTAAAACCATCAGATCTCATGAGACCCATTCACTATCACGATAACAGCATGGAAAAGATCCACCCTCATGATTCAGTCATCTCCCACTGGGTCCCTCCCACAACATATGGGAATTATGGGTGCTACGAGATGAGATTTGGGTGGGAACACAGAGACAAACCATATCATTCCACCCCGGCCCCTCCAAAATCTCATATCTTTACATTTCTTTCTTTTTTTTTTTTTTTTTGAGACGGAGTTTCGCTCTTGTTACCCAGGCTGGAGTGCAATGACGCGATCTCGGCTCACCGCAACCTCCGCCTCCTGGGTTCAGGCAATTCTCCTGCCTCAGCCTCCTGAGTAGCTGGGATTACAGGCACGCGCCACCATGCCCAGCTCATTTTTTGTATTTTTAGTAGAGACAGGGTTTCACCATGTTGACCAGGATGGTCTCGATCTGTTGACCTTGTGATCCACCCGCCTCGGCCTCCCAAAGTCCTGGGATTACAGGCTTGAGCCACCGCGCCTGGCCTATCTTCACATTTCAAAACCAATCATGCCTTTCCAACAGTCCCTCAAAGTTTTAACTCATTTCAGCATTAATTCAAAAGTCGACAGTCCAAAGTTTCATCCAAGACAAGGCAAGTCCCTTCTGCCTATGAGCCTGTAAAATCAAAAGCAAGTTAGTTACTTCCAAGATACAATGGGGGTGCAAACATTGGGTAAATACAGCCATTCTAAATGGGAGAAATTGGCCAAAACAAAGGTGCTACAGGCCCAATGTAAGTCTGAAATCCAGCAGGGCAGTCAAATCTTAAAGCTCCAAAATGATCTCCTTTGACTCCATGTCTCACATCTAGGTCATGCTGATGCAAGAGTTGGGTTTCCATGGTCTTGGGCAGCTCCACTCCTGTGGTTTTGCAGGGCCCAGCCTCCCTCCCAGCTGCTTTCATGGGCTGGCATTGAGTATTTGCGGCTTTTCCAGGTGCATGGTGGAAGCTGTCAGTGGATCTACCATTCTGGCATCTGGAGGTGGGTGGCCCTCTTCTCATAGCTCCACTAGGCGGTGCCTCAGTGGGAACTCTGTGTCGGGGCTCTGACCTCACATTTCGCTTCTGCACTGCTCTAGCAGATGTTCTCCATGAGGCCCCCACCCTTACAGCAAACTTCTCTCTGGACATCCAGGCATTTCCATACATCTTAAGATATCCAAGTAGAGGGTCCCAAATCTTGGTTCTTGACTTCTGTGCACTTGCAGGCTCAACATCACATGAAAGCTGCCAAGGCTTGAGGCTTGAATTCTCCAAAGCCACAGACTGAGCTCTATGTTGGCTCCTTTTAGCCACAGCTGAAGTGGCTGGGACACAGGGCACCAAGTCCCTAGGCTGCACACAGCACAGGGACCCTGGGTCTGGCTCATGAAACCACTTTTTCTTCCTAGGCCTCTGGGCCTGTGATGTGAGGGGCTGCTGCAAAGGTCTCTGACATGCCCTGGAGACATTTTCCCCCATTGTCTCAGTGATTAATATTGGTCACCTGGTTACTTATGCTAATTTCTGCAGCTGGCTTGAATTTCTCCTCAAAAAACGGGATTTTGTTTTCTATTGTGTTGTCAGGCTACAAATTTTCTAAACTTTTATACTCTGTTTCCCTTTTAAAACTGAATGCCTTTAACAGCACCCAAGTCACCTCTTGAATGCTTTGCTGCTTAGAAATTTCTTTTTGCCATATACCCTAATCATCTCTCTCAAGTTCAAAGTTCCAAAAATCTCTAAGGCAGTGCTGCCAGTCCCTTTAGCAAAGTGCTGCCAGTCTCTTTGCTAAAACATAGCAAAGTCATCTTTGCTCCAGTCCCCAACAAGTTCCTCATCTCCATCTGGGACCACCTCAGCCTGGACCTTATTGTTCATATCACTATCAGCATTTTTGTCAAAGTCATTCAGCAAGTCTCTAGGAAGTCCCAAACTTTCCTACATTTTTCTGTCTTCTCTGAGCCTCCAAACTGTTCCAACCTCTGCCTGTTACCCAGTTCCAAAGTTGCTTTTATATTTTTGGGTATCTTTTTAGCAAGGCTCCACTCTACTGGTACCAATTTACTGTATTAGTCTGTTTTCATGCTGCTGATAAAGACATACCCAAGACTGAGCAATTTACAAAAGAAAGAAATTTATTGGACTTGCAGTTCCACAGGGCTGAGTAGGCCTCGCAATCATGTCAGAAGGCAAGGAGGAGTAAGTCACATCTTACATGGGTGGCAGCAGGCAAAGAGAGAGCTTGTGCAGAGAAACGTCTGTTTTTAAAACCATCAGATCTCATGAGATCCATTCACTATCAGGAGAACAGCACAGGGAAGACCTGCCCTCATGATTCAATCGACTCCCTACTGGGTCCCTCCCACAACACATGGGAATTACAGGAGTTAGAAGATGAGTTTTGGGCTGGGTGTGGTGGCTCACGCCTGTAATCCAAGCACTTTGGAGGCCAAGGTGGGCGGATCACCTGAGGTTGGGAGTTCAAGACCAGCCTGACCAACATGGTGAAACCCCATCTTAAAAAAAAAAGAAGATGAGTTTTGGTTGGGGACATAGAGCCAAACCATATCAGTATATAAGACTGAACCAGGTGCAGTGGCTCATGCCTGTTATCCCACCACTTTGGGAGGCTGAGGTGGGTGGATCACCTGAGGTCGGGAGTCTGAGATCAGCTTGACCAACATGATGAAACCTCGTCTTTACTGAAAATACAAAACTTAGCTGGGTGTGGTGGAAGACACCTGTAATCTCAGCTACTTGGGAGGCTGGAGCAGGAGAATTGCTTGAACCTGGGAGGCAGAGGTTGCAGTGAGCCAAGATTGTGTCACTGCACTACAGACTGGGTAACAGAGCAAGACTCCATCTCTCTCTCTCTCTCTCTCTCTCTCCATATATATATATATATATATATGACTGATCTGTAGTGTTGTATGATGTATGATCTGTATTTCATTGATTTTTATTGTTGTATGAATATATTTCAATTTATCCATTTTCTTTATAGTTAACATTCAGATTGTTTACAGTGGTTTTTGTTTTGTTTTGTTTTTGAGACAGGGTCTCGTTCTGTTTCCCAGGCTGGTCTTGAACTCCTGGTCTCAAACTCCTGGCCCCAAGCAATACTTCTTCCTTGGCATCCCAGAGTGTTGGGATTACAGGCGTGAGCCACTGTGCCTGGCTTTTTGTGGCTTTTTTATTATTCTTGCTTTGTGGTATAAAGAGATTGCTAAAAATGTCAAAAAGGCCTGCAGATACTTCTTTGGGTAAGAGTGATGAGAAAACGAGGAAGCATTTATGTTTATCTGTAGCACAGAAAGTCAAACTGTTGGAGAAGGTGGACATCAGTATAAGTGTGAAAATCTTACAAAAGAGTATGGAATTGGAATCACTACCATGTATGACTTGAAGAAACAGAAGGAAAAACTGTTGAAGGTTTATGCTGAAAGTGATGAACAGAAGTTAATGAAAAGTAAAAACAAAAACAAAAACAAAAACAACAACCCCACTACATAAAGCTAAAAAAGAAAATCTCAAGTATTGAAAGACTAAATTCATAAGCATCATAGTGATACACTTGCCATGTAATGGTATGCTGATTACAGGCGTGAGCCACCAGGCCCGGTGCTTGATGAAAACTTATTACAGAATAGATATTTATATGTAATATGTAAAATGCACAGCTAAAATGTTTATCTTATTGCAGTTGGTAGTAAAAACTTTTTTTTTAAATTGCATTTTAGCTTTTGGGGTACATGTGAAGAACATGCAAGATTGTTGTTTAGGTACACACATGGCAGTGTGATTTGCTGCCTTTCTTCCCATGTTATCTCTCCCCAACTCTCCACCCCCTACTGTCCCTTTCCTATTCCCCCCCGACAGACCCCAATGTGTGATGCTCCCCTCCCTGTGTCCATGCGTTCTCATTGTTCAATACCTGCCTATGAGTGAGAATATGCGGTGTTTGATTTTCTGTTCTTGTGTCGGTTTGCTAAGATGATGGTTTCCAGGTTCATCCATGTCCCTACAAAGGACACGAACTCATCGTTTTTGATGGCTGCATAATATTCCATGGTCTATATGTGCCACTTTTGAAAGTTACTGTAGGGAAGTGCACTGTAACATGTAACCAGGAGGTACTTGAATACCCCACCTTCCAAGGAAACTAATGTCAGATCCCTCTCCTTTAGCGCCACCGCCAAAAACCGAGCTCACATCGTGGCTTCTGGCGGTGGCAGGGGCCCGCCAGCCCTGCCTGCGGCACCTGGGCAGGCGTCGCACCTCCCGCCTCTGGGCGGGACGGAAGGAAAGCGCGCTCCTCCTACGTCATCGCCGCGCGCCGCTGCCTTCGCCTTCTTCCACTTCGCGGGAGAAGTTGTTGGCGCGAATGGATCCCGAGCCCCGATAACTGATTCCTCAACCGGCCGACCCGCCAGCCAGCGCCTTAATTCTGGGTTTGCGATGGTGAGCCGCTGGGGGAGGCCGTGCGGCTCGGTGTCTGGGGAGGCTTTGCAGGCCTCGTGTGGACGGGGCACTCCTGGTATGCAGGGTGGGGGAGGATGGCGGTGGGTGGCTCCGGAGGCGAGCGAAGGCAGAGAAGGGGCCGCACACCGGGCACTGGACGCACAACTTTCTTAGCACCGCGGGCTCCAGCTCTGGTCGGTAGCCAGCACGCAGGGATTTTGTTGCTACGTGTACTTGCACTTTTCCCCCTCACTCTTGGGGGAAGGGAGTAAGAATGCTGGTTTTGGAACGCATTGGTAAAGTTATTTTCTTGTTCGGCGTTGCCCGGAACCTCAGTTTGAGTACTGCCTGAAGCGTGGATTTCAAGCTTCGGGTTATGAGGGAGAAGAATGTAACAAACTTTTCTTTCTTAGGAATGTGTTGGGTAGGGCCTTAAACTTTTCTCGTTAACAGCTCAGCTCGTCTCATCTCCGCTCTTCATTAACGATCACCCGAGCGGTGTTGAGACCACCGAGGGCATGGAGAGAATATTTTAATTGTTTAGATGAGTTCATAGGAGTCAAAGGGATAACACGGTTTACTAGGAAAAAGAAATACAGAAAATAGATAAAGATGCAAGAGATTTGACAGCTGTCATCCTCTTATCACCTGATGTTAAAAATAATCTTTAAAGAAAACACCCAAACCTCACTGCGTAATTCTGGATAAAACATTCAAACAAATTGAAAGTGAAATAATTATGCAGCGAGCAAAGCAGACATTCATGATGGTATGGCAATGGATATGACTATATGTTTGAAGTATTTTTAGTTTAAAGAACAATTTAAAATGTTCCACTAAGCCCGAAGATAATCCGATATAATTTTTGTCAATCATTGGTCAACTTGTCACAGTGACAGCATTCTAGGGGGTGAAAATTTTATGCCACATTGGGGAACCTTGCAGTCCTTTGTGTTTTTTCTCAAAAAAGGGCAACAGTAATGATAGTAGCTACCTTGTACCCAGCATCTTCTTCAGGTCAGTATGTGAACTCTTGGTTTTTCATTTCAACCCACATGGATGCAGCTTTACAGATGGTGAAAGCACCTTTTGGAATTTAAATAATGTGTCATACAACAGATACGTGGTTGAACTAGAATTAGAATCTTGGTGTTTCTGACCACCATGTTATACCACCTCCCCATAATGATACATTTTGGAGGTAAAGCACCATGGTATTTTGGAAGCTTGATGAGATTTGGAGTCTTGAAGATGAAGTGGTGATGTTTTAGTTTAATGGTTTATAGATTATAGTTGTATTACTATATTCGTATAGTCTAGTTTAATAGTTATGTGGTCTTGGGTAAGTAAATAGCTTAAGTTTAATATCTTTAAGCTTCTATTTCCTTATCTATAAAAGAGAGGAAATAATAGCTGTCATCGTGATTGTTTTGGGATTAAGCAAGATATATATGTAAAGCTTCCGTTCTGGTGCATGGCATGTTAGGCAACTATGCAGCTACCAATGAGATTTTCTCAGAAAGGGCTCTATGGAAAGTTACATAGATTTTAAGAGGCATGGTAGAGTCCTCTGATGTCATTTATGGTGAACACAGCTTTTGTGGTCATTCAGGTGCTTTTATTTTGCTTCTTTTCTTTCTTTAGTACCCCTATTCATGGTGCAGACGAAAAACTAGACCTCAGAAAAGAAATAGGTCAAATTGGTCAGTTTTGGTGTTAATGGGAAAAGGTTCTATGAGCTAGATAAGAATTTTGTATTATATAGATATTTAATTTAGCCCTCTAGTCTCTAGTACAACAGTTAGCAAAACTCTAGACGAAAATTGATTTTTTTTTTTTTCCATTTTTTATTTTTTTGAGATGGCAACTTGCTCTGTCGCCAGGCTGGAGTGCAGTGGCGCGATCTCAGCTCACTGCAACTTCCCTTTTCTGGATTCAACTGATTCTCCTGCCTCAGCTTCCCCAGCTGGGACTACTGGCGCACACCACCACATTCGGCTAATTATTTTGCATTTTTAGTAGATACAGGGTTTCACAGTGTTGGCCAGGATGGTCTCGATATCCTGACCTCATGATCCACCCTCCTTGGCCTCCCAAAGTGCTGGGATTACAGGCGTGAACCACTGCACCCGGGGACTAAAATTGATTCAACAAATGTTTATTGAACACCTGTGCAAAGTCGTTTTTTTTTTTCTTTCCCTCAAACTGTGTCATTGGGTATGAAGGAGAGTTCTCAATCTTTGTTTCGGTCCACAGTTCCCTTTGATAAATATAGTGAATGGTATGCAAATTTCTGCCCAGAGAAATGCATATAGGCACATATACACCATATTAAGGCATTGACCTGTCTTTTTTTTAAAGACAAAATCTTTAAAAAAGATTTTGCCCAGGCTGCCTCTGTTGCCCAGGCTGGAGTGCAGTGGTGTGATGATAGCTCACTGGTGCCTCTTAATTCCTGGATATGGCGATCCTTCTACCCTGGCCTCCCAAAGCATTGGGATTACAGGTGTGAGCCGCTGTGCCTGGCCTATTCACTTTTCTTCTAATTCTTTTTTTTTTTTTTTTTTTGGGATAGAGTTTTGCTGGGTAGCCGAGGCTGGAGTACAGTGGTGACGATGGTGCAGTTTTGGCTCACTGCAACCTCCGCCTCCCAGGTTCAAGCGATTTTCATGCCTCAGCCTCTCCAGTAGCTGGGATTACAGGTATACGCCACCATACCCAGCTTTTTTTTTCTTTTTTTTTTAAGTAGAGATGAAGTTTCACCACGTTGGCCAGGCTGGTCTTGAACCCCTGGCTTCAAGCTGATCCACCTGCCTTGGCCTCCTAAAGTGCTGGGATTTCAGGCGTGAGCCACTGTGCCTGGCCTATTCACTTATCTTCTGAAGCCCATCCATAGATGGCTCTTGCTCTGGGAGCTGCATTAAAAAAAAATTCCAATGAAAAGTTATCAGTAAAGAAATACCAGCTACTCAGGAGGCTGAGGCAGGAGAATTGCCTGAACCCAGGAGGTGGAGGTTGCAGTGAGCCGAGATCTCACCATTGCACCCCAGCCTGTATAACAAGACTGAAACTCCGTCTCAAAAAAAAAAAAAAAAAAAAAAAAGAAATAAAGTGTGTGTATCCACACAATGGAATACTATGCAACCTTTAGAAAAATGAGAAAACTTTATACTCTGATATAAAACGATTGTCAAAATATAAAATCTCTCTGGAAAGATAAAGAAGGAACCAACTGATAACATTTTTTGTCTCCAGAGATGGGAAGTATGAGTCCGAGAGACAGGTTAAGAGGGAGACTGTTTACCCTTTTGTAACTTGAACCATGTAGATATATTATCTACTAAAGGAATAGAAAGAAAATTAAAAATAAAATAAAAAAGAAGCCATAAAGACTGTTTGAATTGCACTGAGATTTAATTGTACAAAATGTGAATAACGCCTGAGAGATGCCATTTTTAAGAAGTCAGCATATATAATTAATTGATTGGTTTAATTATTGAAAATATGCATAGGATTGAATTAAACACATATGAGACTTAAGGAACAGCCTTTTGAAGAGCAGCGAGGTCAGTTTAAATACATTGTGGTGTGAACTATTTCATTGCTCCTCTCTTAAGGCACCTTTCACATCCTGGTTTTCTATGTGGAATGGTTTCCCTGGAGCAGTGCTTGACTGACTTTTGCCATGCATAGGTACCTGAACTTGGCCTAATAGGCCCCCTACCTCCCTCTGATTTTCTCTCTCTGTCTTTGGAGTGCTTGTTAGGTTGGTTCTGTTTCTCTTTCAGGGCTTTTGTTGTTGCGATTTTCTCTTTGAAATACTCTTCCTCCACGTCCTTGCATGTCTCCTTTATTTTTTCATCATTTAAGTTTCTCTTGCCTAATGCAAGGTCATGAAGATTTATGCTTAAGAGTTTTGTAGTTTTAGCTCTTAAAACTAAAGTAGTTTTAGTAGTAGTGTGTAGTTTTTGTATTATTGCCATCTTAACAATATTAAATCTTTCAATCCATGAATGTGGGATACCTTCATTTGTTTAGGTCTTTAGTTTGTTTAAACAGTATTTTGTAGTTTTTCACAGTATGGGTTTTATACTTCATTTAGGACTTTTATCCATTTTTGAGTTTTTATATAGGGTGTGGAGTATAAAGGTCCAATTTTCTTTCATATGTGGACATCTAGTTGTTCCAGTACCATTTTTTGGAGAAGAAAAAATTCAATTTTCCTCATTCAATTATCTTGATACCTTTGTCAAAAATCAGTTGACTATAGATGTGAGGGTGGTTTTCTAAACTCCCAGTTCTATTCCATTAATCTACATATCTGTCTTAATGCCAGCAACACGCTGTGGTACTGTGGCTTTGTAATATATATATTTTTTGAGATGGAATCTTGGTTGGTCCCCCATGTTGGAGTGCATTGGTGTGACTGTGGCTCACTGCAACCTCTGCCTCCTGGGTTCAAGCAGTTCTCTGCTTCAGCCTCCCAAGTAGCTGGGGTTACAGGCGCCCACCACCACCCCTGGCTAATTTTTATATTTTCGATAGAGATGGGGTTTCACTATCTTGGCCAGCCTGGTCTTGAACTCAGGACCTTGTGATCCACCCGCCTCGGCCTCCCAAAGTGCTGGGATTACAGGCATGAGCCACTGTGCCCGGTCAGAAATACAGTTTATTTTTGTATATTGATCTTGTATCCTTGCTGAACTCATTATTTTTTATTTTTATTTTTGAGAGAGAGTCTTGCACTTTTGTCCAGGCTGGAGTGCAGTGGTATGATATTGGCTCACTGCAACCTCCACCTCCCGGGTTCAGGCAATTATGCTGCCTGAGCTTCCTGAGTAGCTGAGATTACAGGTGCTTTCCACCACGCCCGGCTAATTTTTTGTATTTTTAGTAGAGACAGGGTTTCCCCATGTTGGTCAGGCTGGTCTCGAACTCCTGACC